ATGTATGCATTATTATTATTTACTAAATATATATTATATGTACAAAAATAATAATATTTAATATTTATAAAAAAAGTATATTTTGTATAAAATATTTTCAGAAGATAAAATAAAATAAAAAATGAAAAATAAATGTGTTTACATTATTTTTTTTTATATTTTAAGTAAAAAATGGTTTTATGTATTTATTTTATGTACAAAAACTAAAAGAAACCAAATAAATGCCTAATAAATTCAAAAGTGGTGAGAAAAATATTTTTGATATTTTTAATATTGTTAGAAAAAATAAATAAATCAAATCAGAAAAAGAAAAAGTCAAAAAGTCAAAGAAATAAGCAAAATGGGCTTGGGGGGTGTAAAAGTAACAAAAGGGTGCAAATAGAAAAGTCAACTCAGGCCCAGCCCAAGAAGACTTTGTCTTCAACCTCAGACCTGTATGAACAACCAGAACACGCATTTTCCATCTCTTGATTCCTGGACTTTCAAGCAAAACTCACAACATGAAAAATGTAGAGCATGAGAAGACGAATCCAACCATGTAAAGAACTTGACTTAACTCTCTAAGATGAGGGAGAATTTCTTCTCCCCCAATTTCTGACCTAGTTTTTATGCCATGTTCAGACTCAAAATTCTTGCAGCACACATAATATAAATGAAATCTAATTACATGGGCATGTTCAGGGCTATGAATGTGACATATTCTCTTCACAAACCTAAAGCTAACAATGCCTAATAAGAGAGATACGAGTTCATGAACTTACCTGTTCAGTTGAAGTTCTATCTGGCAATGGAGAAGCTTTCAGTGCAAGGTGATGATTGGTATAGCTTCCTTGATGTCCAGGGATGCTATTCCAAGCTTTACTTTGTCTTGAAACCTTTTGAATCGTGCTATAGCACTTCACCTGCAAATCAAAAAAGTGAAAATGGCCAAAAGGATTAGAGGAGTTACAGGTTGCTTCTAATGCTTTGGATAGTTTGGATTGATGGTAGGGAAGGTGTTTGAAGTGGTTTGGGCAAGAATGCTTGAAAGGATTAAGAGTTAGAACTCAATCTGCAGAGGTTGCTCTGTTTTTGCAGTTTGAGAGTGATTTTGGCAATGGGGAGGTATTGGTGGTCTTAGGGTCGTGCTTCAGCTTGTGTTTGATGTTTAGAATGTGTGTGATAACTTTCTCTAAGGCTTGGTTTGCAGGAATGGAAGTTGGTATATGTTATGCTATCTTTCTTCACACTTAAGCGAGCAAAGGCCACTTGATGTTTCTAGCCTGTACAGGCCCTCACACTATGCTGCATACATTGGCCTTGATCAGTGCAATTTGCTCATAAACTTGTGCCAAGAAGATTTGGACTGTACCACTTGGATTTGCAAAATGGACATAAAGTTCTACTTTTTCAAAATGGAAATAATGCTTTTTCTAATTAAGGGTTAATTCTCCATGTAATGTCCAAATGCATAGAACAACATTTTGGCACAATGGTTTTGCATTGAATTATTGAGTGAAAATGGGATTAGAGGCCTGTAATGTAGCTTAAGCATGCTGAATTCAAAATGGCACCAATGTATGAACATGTCTTGGCCAAGAACAAAAGTGACTTTTTCCCATTTTGCAAAATTCGATTCTCCCTAACCATGAGGTTGTTTGAGAAGTTCTTGGACATTTTGGAAAGCTTGGAATATGTACTACAATCCATATTTGAAATGCAAATTGAAATTCCAAGTGGAAGTGTATGAAAAATGGTCTTGAAGTTAGGTAAAAAACTTGTCCAAAATAGGTCAAAATTTCACTAAGTTAAGAATGGTTTGGTACCCTTGTTCCAAAAATTGTAACTTGAGATACAAGCTTCTTTTGGGAAAACTTTGTGAATCAAAGTTGTAGATTATGCAATAGGCTACAACTTTCATGTTTTGACTTTTGCTTGAATCCAAATGAATCATGGTGAGAAAGTGGGGCAAAGTTGGGAAAAAATTAGGGTTTTTCATAACTTAGAAAAATTCTAAGTTATGAAAAAATCTCATTTCAAACCCTAATTTGCAAATTTTGATTTCTTGGTGAACAAGTTTCATGATTTGGCATGTTTTGATGAAAAATGAATCTTGACTTTTGATTTTGACCAAAAAGTCAAAGTTTGACTTTTCAGTATACAGTCAAAATTGATCAATTGACTGGGAAATTCAACTATCAACCTTGTGTATTTGGGATCTTTGGAACTTGTTGAGCATGTCAAGATGATTCCATGGGGTCCTTGAATCCATATGTGAGCTTGGTTTGCCATTGGCTAGGTCAAACAGTCAAAAATTGCCTTTGTGCAGTCAAAACCCTAAAAATGACCATTTTGCCCTTTTGGTGATCTGATCAAATTTCTTGTGGAATTGTGATCCAAACTTGATCAAAAGGTCCATGTGAGTTCATAATGTTGATGTGGGTCAATTTTCATGAGGTTTGACTGTCAATTGGCCACAGTTGACTTTTTCCCCAATACAGCTGATTTCTAGGTCAACTGTCCAATTGACTGGGCAAAACTTGGAATCAAGACTTGAAACTTGATGTGGATAAACTTGGGAGTCCAATATGAAGCAAGAAAGTCATCTTAGGCATTTTAGGTCACAACATCTTTGTGCAAACACAAACCCTAATTTGGGTCAGCAGTGCAGGGAGAAGCCTTGAGCAGAGGAAATCCTAACTGGGTCTTGATCTTCAAGGGTCTTGTGATGAGAAAATGTTGAGGAAATGGGAGGGAAAATTTTGGGGTACAACAATTTGTTTTAAGATTAACAAAAGTTTAAAAAAAATGAAGAGTTTCGTATATCGTATCAGATATATTTGATGACATGAAGTCAACAAAGTTAAAACATTTTCCTTGGATTAGATAAACAAAAAATATATAAAGATTAAATGATCGAGAATAAAGTTAATTAGAATGACAATTGAACAATTAAATAAAATAACAAAAATTAAATAAAAGACTAATTTATACTAGCATGTATTTTTGAATAATTAAATAAATTAAATAAAAGACTAATTTATAATAGCATGTATCTTTTGTATTTTTATGATAAGGGATAAATAATAAAATCTAAACCAATATTTTTTATGTATATTAAATGAATTAGGGTAAGGACACTAAAGCTTGAAAAAAGGGGAATTCAAACACATGTCCCTTGGGTTGCAACAGATATGTCTTGTCACTGAACTATATTTTTTATCTCTAATATTCAAGCTTTATTGAAATAAAAGGACGATAATGATAATATGATTGGGCCAACAGGCCCATTAGGATGACCTGATTTGGGAAGAGATAAGGAAGGGCTTTTGAAAACCCTAAACAAGAGGGAGGCGTCGCTGGCTGTCATTATTGGAAAAGGAGAATGTTACATATTTAATCAACATTATTTCTAATAAAATCAATCAAAAGGAAAGTTTGAAACAAATATAACATAATCCTCTCTCCCTCATGCTAATCTCACGTATCATCACCATCAGCTTTCATAAGTCACTAAAACTCTATTCCAACCATTCATCTTCTTCTCTCGCTCTCACAATTCATCACCATCATCATTGAATCCTCTCTTGGTTGTTTTATCCACCATGGCCGTCGTGCTCTGTTCTCTCCAATGTCGCAACTTTGCTTCTTCCTCTGTCTCCGCCTTTCGATCGTTGACAGGAAGCACAAAGGCATCATCTAAAACACACAAGTTGTCAAGTTTAGCTCGATCTTTCAGTTCAAGACCTGCTGGCAATGATGTCATGGAATTGATTTGGGTACTACCAATTCAGGTGTTTCGGTCATGGAGGGGAAGAAGCCCAAAGTTAGTGAGAACTTGAAAGGTGCTAGAACAACACCATCAGTGGTTGCTTTCAACCAGAAATCAGAGTTGCTTGTTGGTACACCAACCAAGCGTCAGGCTGTCACTAGCCCAACTAAACCCTTATCACTTTGGCTTCAGGATTTGGATCGGAGTTCCTCCGACAGGTCTTCCAATTTTCTCAGGTAAGTTGATTCAGATTTTTCCTTCTCTTTTGCTTCTGAACTTCTACTTATTATTGTTGTAGTGAAGGTCGAAGGCTAAGTCATAGTTTTTGCTATTTGAATCTCAGGTACAGATGTGGTGGTTTGGTAATGACGAAATTGCAGAATCGTCGATGTTAGAGGTATCGGAGTTAGAAAAATGATGGTGGTACAAAATTAGGGTTTGTTATGGATTCTTTATGTTCATTAATTCTGATTATCTATTTGTTGCAGTTCATAGTAACAGGTCATAGGTTTTTATTGTTATCAGTAGGAAGAGGGAGTATGGAGAATAGAGGCTGAGGTTGTATAGTTGTCGATATTTCTGGGAAAGTGGCCGGTATAAGTTTACAATCTGAAGGATGTTGTTGTTGGCAAAGAAAAAGATGCTTGAAGTACAATATTAGATCTGAATAGGGTTTTTCAAGGTTTAGGACGATCGAGGTTGTGGTTATCGATTATTTGAAGAAGAATAGAGGGATGTGTCGATTTTGAGATAAGGATGGCCGGATTTCTATGTTGTTGTTGAATCGAAGAAAGTGGCAGAGGGGTCGGATGACATGAGTGTGGATTTTGTTTCAATTGGGAGAAGAAGTAGAATACAAAGTAAAGTGAATCAGTTGGTTGAGAAGAATAATGGATTTTAAAAAACAAAGAAGCAGTTTGCGAGGAAACATATTTTTATGATAAATAGGGGAGGGATTGAGAGGATGAAGCGATATGTTTGAGAAGAACAAAAGGAGGTTTTTACGTGGAAGAGTTTGAAGGAGGGAGTAAAGTTTAGCAACTGTGATACAGTAAGTGTAGAGACAATGGGTGGCGATTTTTTCTGTCTGAGATTTGTGTACGCGGGAAAAATTTGAAGGTATTTTCTTATCTCTATGAATTTTGTGTCATTTTCTGTACGTTTCCATCTGCGTTTATTATTATTTATTTCTTCTAAACATTTCTAAGTATCCATAAATTGCAGCAGCTCCAAAACATAGCAAAAGAGTATGATAAACCAAGCATTCATATGGCATAAAAAAAGTGGTGCAAAGAGAAGATTCAAACATGTAAGTAATGTTTCTATGCAAGCAAATCTAATAGATGCTGATGTATATATGAGAAAATTATGTATAAGTAATAGGAATAAGAAATGCCTATCGTATTTTCTCCGATGGAGCTTCAAAAATAGTAAATTATCCCTCCCTCTCTTGTTGATGCTCAAGCTTCTTTAACTCTGATTCTTTGTTGTGATTCTTGAACCAATTTCTCTCTTTTTATGTTAATGAAGGTGGCTGTCTTTTTATGAAGAATGGGGATGATTGTAAATTTTACAGAAATGTTGAAAGAGTTTTTTTATGTTATCTACCCTGTGATTATTGGGTGTTCTTGGTCTCTTTTTATAAGCATAGTGGAGTGGAATCAGGAGGGAAAATTGGAGAGATTTTGAACAAATATGAATGCCCTGTTTTGATGCTTTTTCCATACAGTTTTTAGTTTCCATTTTGGTGTAACCTCTTGTCTGCTCTATTTTTTCTGAGTATTTGCAGGGCTGATATGCTATGTTTTGGGACAGGGTTTGTAGGCTGTATTAGACTGATTTATAGCAGTTTTTTATGCAGAATTTGGACTGGTCTGCTTGGTTGCTTATGCAGGACATCAACAAGTATGTAGCAGAATTTGGGATCATTGTAGGCTGCTATTTGGACAAGAAAAGTACCACAAAAATTGGACGATTATTGTGTTGAAACATGGTTGGAAAATGGGCAGCATGTTTGAAGCATGAAGCTTTAGGACATTAGAATTATAGTTTTGATTTTTTATGTTCAGACTTGTAATTCCTCTTGTAACTTTGTAGTGATAATTCCAAATAAAATAGCTTGACACTTCTAATTAAATTTGGTGACTTTGTGTAACATGTAATTCTCTTGAATGAATATGAATGGAACTTTTTTTTTGACTTGGACTATCATGGGTGAAACTTGAAGAATTATCAAAATTGTAACAAGTCTTGAATTTAAATGTTGAAATACTTCATTTGAATTTGGAATGGATTTCTCTTGAAATTTGGAGTCTTCCATTTAAAATGGAATTAATCTCATGCCTTGAATGACTTTGAAATATCATGCCCTTGAAAATAATCTTGAATAAATGCAATATGATGAATGATTTGAATTTTGAATGAGCCCTTTCGATAAATTCTATTTAGTTAACACTTGAATTCACATGATGAAAACTCCAAGCATTCTAAATAAATTCTTCCAAAGTGATCTTAAATTCAATCACCCTACTCTAACGAAATTCACCCTGTGCCATGTATGTATAAGAAATCGAACCATACTTAAAAGCTTCGAATGATCACTAGAAGAGGGATTTGAGGCGAAAGGTTACCGCATTGAGAATTTTGCACAATTAATTGAACTTGGAGATTAAGAAACTCTTAAGTCATGACAAACGTCCTATAACGTCTTTTCATGGCTTTCTAAACACAATTTGTCTTCAACTTTTAAAGAAAACATGCAAATGACTTTTGGTCAAGGTGCTTGGAATTGACTCGCATAGCCTGATCTTTTCTTATATTTCAAGGCAAGGTGAAACCCACGTGAAACAGTGGTAATGGAACCTTGAATGTTCTCTTGATATTAGAGGCTAAGATTTGATAAAGTAGCCTTTGAGAATTGATGATTCAACATTCTTGAACACTTGAGGGACAAAAACCCTAACTGAGGTGCAATACCTGATGCTCTTGATTCAGACCTGTCTCTGCACATGAAACAAAAGAAACACAAACATATACCTTTGTATGTGATTAGAAGTTAATGATACATAGGCTAAAAATGTTCAAAACACTTGACAATCTCTGCATAGGCAATGCTCGAAGGTGAGAGGTTAAAATCGACCGTATTTCGTGACCTTGATTTTTGTATAAAAATGAAGATGGGATCTTAGGTCAAAAATTGGGGTATGACAATTACTACTAGATCAAAGGAGGTCGTATCTAACTCATGCTTTATCTCTAAGATTGAATCCAATATTGTGAAAGAAGTTTTAACTGATGAACTCTGGATCACTTCCATGCAAGAAGAACTGGGCCAGTTTAAGAGGAATGAAGTATGGGATTTAGTCCCTAGGCCAAATGGAACAAATTTCATTGGCACAAAATGGATTTACAAGAACAAATCTGATAAAAAAAAGGTATTGTAACCAGAAACAAGTCCACGCTTATGGTTGTAGGGAGTAGTTTCTCTCAATTGATTTAGATCAAACAAATGCTATGGAAATATAATGTCAAGCAGGATGTCATGACATTATATTGTGACAATCTGAGTGCAATCAATACATCCAAGGATCCCATTCAACATAGCAGGATAAAATATATTGACATACATCATCATGTTATTAGGGGTCTTATGGAGGACAAAATTGGTCCTTTTAAGCATGTGGCCACTGAGAAGCAACTGGAAGACACATTTACTAAGGCTTTGGATGCAAATAAATTTGAGGAATCAAGGGGTGGATGGAAATTTAAACCGCTGATGAGTTATAGCAATTACATGTATGGAGATATGCAAATGATATTTTCACTTCCATCCATTTAGAAGTGCACGAAACTCCAGGGAAATCATTACAAATCGTATATGTTTCCTTTCTATACACGCCATTTTCAAATTTCTCCTAGGAGTGTTGAATCTTATGTTGCTGTCAAGAAACCTGACTCTATGATAAGGTTGTGTTTTGATCCTACTCAAACCCCTAATGTTGAACCTGATGTTGGCATTTCTGCTAATGGTTCTGTTATTTCAAATGTAGTGGGTAAAGTAAGAACAACTGAAAAATTCATCTCTGAAAATTTTAATGATGTTATGAATGGCTTTTTTGATGTATCTCTTTCTAAAAATCTGGTTCTTGAACCTGAGACTGATGTTGTGCCAAATGTTACAACATTCTTGGTTGAAATTGACCATCCTGACATTGAGGGTCCTAAGAAGTTTAAAGAGAAAATTTCTGGTTGAAGAAGATTCAATCTATTGACATTGTCAATATACATGAGTTAGATTCACATAATGATTCTATAGGGAATAATTTCGCTCCTGGTATTTCCAAAAGACTGAAGAATAGGAAAAGCAAGGTTATGGGGTCTGAAAGAAAGCCCTCTAAGGTTAGCAAGAAAAAGGTTGTTGCTCGATCTGCTAAAGGTTGGAGCAAGGTTGTGGCTTCTGCTAAGAAAAGGAATGAAGCACCTTCAAGTGAATTTGAGTATGATGTCGAACAAAATGTTCAAAACATCATTCATTTGAAGAAACTACTGGGGAAAAAGGTCCCTGCTAATGTGCCTGAAGTTCCAACTGACAACATCTCTTCTCTCTCTGGGGAGTATGTTGAAAAGTGGAAGTATGTGTACCAAAGGAGGTTGGGTTTGGAAAGAGAGATTGGTAAAGATGCTCTTGACTATAAGGAGATTGTGGATCTAATTTAGGTAGAGGGTTTGATGAAGAGTGTTGTTGTTTCTGGAATATGTTCTGAGGTTTTGGTGAAGGAATTCATTGTTAACACTTCTAAGGAATGTGTCACTATGATAATCAAGGAGAACATCAAGGTTTATGAAAGAGGTAAATGTGTGTAGATTACAATAAGATGAGGTGGTATTATTTTTTCTGCTCCTAATGAATGCATGTATGCTTTTGTCAATTTTTGGCTAAAAAGGGGGAGTAGTATCAGTATTAGTTTTACATGCCTCAAGTACTTCCTGAGGTGATGCTAGAGGGGAGTTTTGTAGTTTGGCACGGTTGGTGTTTGAGGACTACTACTTATGGAGTAGTTTGTATCATATCTACTTCTCAGGGGGAGCTTATGATGTCTGGTATGGTTGCATGTGATGTTTGTGCTATTGTATGAGATGATAATTTATATCTCTTTGATGATGTGAACTGGTGTGTATTTCTGGTGTGTATGCCTCTGATGTGATCTGGTGTTAGTAGGTGATGTTTGTTGCTCTATGTGGATTTCTTCTCTTGTTATCTTATGAATATGTTATTGTTTGATCATGTATTGTTTGGAGCTATTTTGAATGATGTTCCCTTGAGAGAGAGTTTTGATTCCATGTGACAAGGGAAGTATTGTGATAGGGGGAGCACGAGCTAATATGATGTGTTATTGTTTAGTGTGTTGTTGTGATGCTATTTTGTGATGTCAAACAGAATGCCATGACATCTGGTCTCTGATTGAATTATGGAGTGTGAGAGTTTATTTCTCTCTGTGTGTTTTGTGTGTAAGGTTGGGTCTCTCTTTTAGTTGTGTTTGTTGTGTGTACCTCAGATTGTTTAGTGTTTTTTTTTGTATTTTTCAAGTATGCATGATGTTCACGTATCTTGTGTTTTGTGGTTGTTTTGCTGCTATTTGTTTTCTTCTGATCTCCAGTTATATCATGCAAATGTTGTTTTAGCCAAAATTGGCCAAATGAGGAGATTGTTAAGTCTGTGATTTTATGATTGGAAGCAATTTTGTTAAAACATGTTTATCTGCAAGATATTGGGACAGATGTATTGACATGTTATTTAGACATCACTAAAGACAGATGATGTGAAAGATGTCGTAACATGTTATACCAGAACATTAGTATAGTTCTAGGTTTTACTTCTTGGAATATTTGATTTTAAAATATGAGATTCTGTTTGGTTTTAGTTCTCATATTGTCCCAGCCAAGGAAGGATATTTTAGGAACATTAGTCCTATATTAGAATTGCTTTTGTTTCATAAAAAGGATCTTGGATACTTTTTATGAAACTTTATATATTTCGTTCCTATTTTTGTGGAGAAGATTTTGCAGAAGATTTGCAACTAGAATATTGGATTTGCATGAAGAGTCGAAGCCCTTGCTTTCAAGAGTCTTTTTATAAGGACTTTCTAAACCAAAAAACAATTGGAGAAGTCGTGTGCATGAGATAAGGGTTTAGGATTTTTAGTTTTTTCTTTGTTCATTGTGATCCATTCTCTTATCACTTTGATATTAGAGTTGGACTGGTTTTTAGTTGTTATTTGTCAATCATTCATAAGCTTTTAAGCAAGAGTGAATTGTAGGTCAAGTTACCTTTGTTCATCAGTCATAAGCTTTTAAGCACAATTGATTATTTGTCTTTGAAAAGTGTTCTTCTATGTTTTGTTTATCATTGTTAGTTTGTCACCGGTTTGTGAGTGAAGGGAAGTGAGAGGTGTCTCATATCTAGGAGAAATAACACGAGTAGTGATTAGGTGACAAGTTTGTAAACCAGGGGTTGTTTAAAGCTTCAAACTAATACTATTGTAGTGGATTTCCTCCCTGACTTGAATCCCCCCAGATGTAGGTGATGTTGCACCGAAATGGATTAACAATTACTTGTGTTATTTACTTCTAGCAATTTATTTTACTTGCATAATTTTATTGTGACTGACTGATATCAGTGTCGTAACATCTAGTTCGACATCTGGTATCTGTGTCAGAATTTCACTAAGGTATTCACTACAAGAAAAAAGCAAGTTACGATTGTTTTTTGTACTGTTACGGCGGTTTAAACCGCCATAGTAACTTGGTTACGATAATTTTTGTTATGTCACAAAAGTGTGTGTCGCCAGCATGCTTTGCGACAGTTTGGAAAACGATAACTCTAACCATCATTATTATTTACGTCATTTACGGAACTGCCTTAGCTAGTTAATTGCGACAGTTTTAAACCGTCGCAAATTTATTTGGTGTTTCATTTTTAAAACAAACTACTGAGGTTTATAACCCCCTCTAAATTTATTAATTAAAAAAACTCACTAAAAATCACTATCAATTCAAAAAATAGATCTGATATGAACAATCTATCAATTATCATATCATTTTCATTACAGGAAACATGCAAGTTTGACAAAATCATGATCTCGCCTAGTAGATCGAATCCGTAAAATCCTTTCACAATGTCGCCTCAATTATGAGTCAATATTTTCTTCTTACAACTTCTGAGCAAGACACCTAATGTATCTAGGATTATGGGGGCATATAAACAGATTAAGCATGCTTTCATAATCTACAGTAACTTCAAAGGTTTCTTTTCCTTTATCAAACTGTCCAAAGCTACAAGTAATCTTAAAGTACAAAAGTGAACAAAAATTTACATCAACCATTCATTATATTCAGAGAACGACATTACACATTCTCATCAATAGTATGAGCTCTGTTAGAATATCAAGAAATCAGTAATGAATTTTCCTACCTGATACATGAATAACCCAACTATCTTAACTTGTGAAGTAAATGAGATGTCAAAGGGCATCATGGATAGTCTCTTGAATGGAGAAACTCCTATTTCAAAATAGATGAAGCTATTGAAAAATGAAGATATTTCACAGCATAAACCCCCCCCCCCCCCCCCCCCCCCCCCCCGGCACCACTAAGATGAAAACTAAATGGCAAGATAAAAAGAATTACTACTTACCTGGGTGAATTGTGGACATGATTGGGATAATGACACAACTAAATCTCCATAAAAATGAGAACCTAAAGCAAGGATGTACAGAGACCTTGGTGTTACACGAAAGTTGTCAAATCTTCATTCAGGTGAATATTGATAGTGTTAGTAGCTGCTATCTTTAACACACATAAAGAATTGTGAAATGATATAATGAATTCTCGAACTTCCTCCATTATGAAGTTAGATTTTTTAAAAGAAGAGTATTTCGTAGTAGAGAATGATACCTTGATATTTATTATTATAGTATTTTTGACAGTTCAAGTTTCTTCTTAAAACATTGTTGCATTGGAATTTTGCTTTGGAGAGAAAACCTATTTTAGGTTAGGATCATTGTTCGTGACCAGAGGTTCAAAGTAGATTTTAGTATTAGAATCAGGGTCGTTGTTTAGTGAAAGCTTCATGAAATTTATGAATGAGCAAACTTCCAGAGCTAACACACATCTGGTTACAAGATTTGACCTTCATATCTACAATTTTAATGTCCAAGAGACAATGGACCATAATGAGGGGAGGCCAAGGGGATACTATCAGGTAGAACTACAAAATGATTGGTGCGACTGTGGAAAGTTTCAAGCCTTTTGTATGCCTTTCTCTCATGTCATTGTGACATGTTCAAGTGTTCTTCGAGATTCTTTCTTGCATCTATCTACCATTTACAAGGTCAAAAATATATTCCGCGTGTACAATAATAGCTTTCTAGTGGTTGCAAAAGAGGATTATTAGCCTATGTATCAAGAAGATGTAATTTGGAACAACAAAAATATGCGGAGGAAGAAAAAGAGTCACTCCAACAGCACGCATATTCGAATTGAAATGGATACAACTAACAAAGTGGAAAGAAAGTGTGGTATATGATGTCAGACCGGACACACACGAAAACATGTTACAATCTTAGAACAAGTCCCACAAGATAATTATTGTATGCAATCTTAGATATACAATTTATTTTTAGTAAACATGGAATTTATGTTGAATACAACTTTTGGTTACAAGAAAATGAGCACAAACACGCCTAAAACAACAACTTTTGAAAAAAATAAAAAGGAGGTCTATGGGTTAGGAGGTTGAAGGAGTTTAACTTAGCCTTACTTAATAATTAGTGTTGGAGGATTCTAAATGAGCTAGGAAGCATGTCGTATATGGTTATGTGTGCTCAGTATGGTGAAGAAGGGGGCATTTAGGTTTTGGGGTAGTGGGGAATCTGTTTGGTGGAGGAGTTTGAAAAACATTAGGGAGGGTGTCAGTTTGGTTGATTGAGGATTGTTACTTGATAATATTTATCAGAGAATAGGAGATGGAAATTCTACTCTATTTTAGATAGATCCTTGGATTGATGGTATGCCTTTGAAGGTGAGATTTAGTTGGCTGTTTGATTTAACAGAGAATAAAAGGGTGATAATAGTATAAATGAATGAATTGGGGTGGTGGGAGAAAGGAGAGGCATATGGAAGTGGCGTCAGAGGTTATTGGCTTGGGAAGAGGAGTTAATGAGAAAGTGTATTAAGCGGTTAACCTCAGTTGTTTTGCAAGTGGAAGAAGAAGATCATTGAGTGTGGACTTGGCATACCTCTTTGTGGTACACAATTAGCAGTGTTTATAAAAAATTGTCTGAAGTTCACGTCATCAACAATCAGACCAACTCTTAATTTTTGTGTCTGAAGACTGTGCGACTAAAGGTATCTATTTTTGTTTGGCGGTTGTTACTAAATCGTATTTCGACGAAGGACAATCTAGCTAGGCGGAATATTCTTGTCAGGAACGATCAAATATGCGTGACAATTTATGGCGTGACTGAAGACATACATCATTTGTTTGTAACATATGATTTTTTTGGGCTATAGACTATTATTTTTAATTGGTTAGGGTTCTCAATGGCATCACAATAAAATATTTTCTACCATCTTTTGCAATTTGGTGGTCTTGATGGGTTCTTGAAAGATGTTTGATTGGCTTTTAACACTATTTAATTTACGATGGTTTGAGATATTTGAAAATAGTGAAATAGTCATATTTTCCTAAATAAAACAGAACAATTACATGTGTTAGCTAAAAGGGTTAAACTTCTATCGTTTTAGTGGTTAAAATCGAAATATATATTTTCGATTTCGATTATCAATTCTGGAGATTAAACTCTTTAACTTGTTTATCATTTGTTATGTAGATCACTTTTACTATTTTTCATAATATTGGGTTATAATTTTGAATTCCTCCTTATCTTTTTCGATTTATCTTGTACTCAATTGACTCCGTTTGATTATTAATATACATCTCATATTGTTTTTTTTTATAAATATTTTTAAATTATTATTATCTTTTCATCCTTAATATTTTATGAATTTAGATAATATATTATTTAGATACATTAATTATTTCTTTTATAAATAGGACGAGATCTATGGAATAATAAAAAACAAAATTATTTCACTTTAATTTTTTTAATTTAAATGTAATTGTCACTGCCAGTACTATAATTTCGAAAAAAGAAATTGAACATTTGTTCTGACTTCATCCGTTGTCTTGTCGGTGTGCACTCTCCGCATCTACTGAACTGATTTCAATGTTGAATTTTGTTTATGAATACAAAAATTGAATTGAATTACTTGATTTTACATGGAAACTATCAACATTAAATCTCAAGGTCCTTCTTCTTCTTCTTCTACAACTACTGATTCAGACATTGATAACAACGATTCAGGTTGTTGTTCCAGCAGTAGTAGTAACAGATCTGATGCTTCAGCAGCAGCTGAGTTGAAACTGTACAGAGCTTTTATATTCTCTGTTCCTATTTTCTTCACTTTGATTCTTGTTTTTCTTTTCTATGTTTTCTATTTGAAACCTAGAAGGGTTGATTGGTCTTCTATCAGAATGAGGTCTGTTTCTGTTTTAGAACGTAATAATCACAACAATGGAATCTCCAATGTAAGTTGTTCTTATCCTAATCTATAGTATTTCATGATTTGTTGGGTTGGGGTTTTAGCTTAAAATATAAGTGATTATCTTCTGCTTTGATAATTGTTTTTGAGTAGGGTGACAAACGAGCATATCCGTTCTACAAAAGTCCGCAAAAAATGTGACACACGGGCTTTATTGAGAGTGCGGGCATAAAATTTTGCCCCACCCCGTAAAAAGATGAGTGCGGGGCGGAGCGGGCCCGCCTGATTTGTAACTTTTAAATCTAAAAATTACAAATTTTGATGTTAATCTCCGTGTCTATAAAAGTCTGTGAAAAAATGGGACGAACATGTTAGAGGGGGCAGATCTAAAATCTTGATGGCTGGCTTTGTTACTCCTAATTTTGAGTGTAAAATTGATTTTGAATTCAACCAAATTGAATTGAAGGTAAAATAATTTATGTTTAGTGTATATTTGGTTTCATGTTTGGGGTAGTCAGATTTGATTTTGAATGTGTAGAGTTGATTTTGATAGGTTTGATTCCTCTCGAATAGAATTGATTATGCATTTTAGAATTTGTTCCACTTGAAGCTAGGATCTGTGACTTTTAAATCTAAACGTGATTTTAACACTAAAATTTACTATTCAATCACTTTTTAAGAATTTATATAAACATAACTCAATTTACCTTCATCTCGCTTTTAACTTGAATCTATTTTACATAATCAATTAAATCATAATCAATTTTCTTAACCGCAAAACCTATCACATGCTACAACTGAATTGAATGTAAAACAATTTATGTTTAGTGTATGTTTTGTTTCACGTTTGGAATACTTATAATGATTCTAGATTTGTAAAATTGATTTTGACAGGTTTGGTTACTTTTGAGTAGAATTAATTCTGTTTTTCAGAATTGATTTTACTTCAAGATAAAATTTGTAGCTTTTGAGTTTAAACTTGATTTTTAGATTGGAATTTATTAATCAATCACTTTTGTAGAAAGTTATCCAAACCCGAGTCATTTTACCTTCAACTCGGTTTTTACTAAAATCTATTTTACAAAATCAATTAACTCAAAATTAATTCTCTTCCCCGCGTAAGCAAACACACGCTTAGATATATTCATGCATAAGTGACTTGAATCAACTCTAGAGACATAATAATTTTACACTTTTAAATTAATTTTATCTCTTCCAAAATAGAAACCAAACGTACACTAATTGTAAACGGTTTTACACTTTTAGAGGTGATTTTGTTCTTCCATGATAGAAACCAAACATACACTAAATATGATCGTGTAATCGTGTATACTCTTGTCTTGTTGGTGTCAGACACTGATACTTGTGTAACTTACACGCCTTCGATCAGAAGTATTAGTCCTATATAGTGCTAACGACTTTCAAACTGATATTTTTAACTTGTTGCAGTCTGATTCTGATTTAGGGTTGAAGAAAGAATTGAGAGAAATGTTGCCTATTATTGTGTACAATGAAAGCTTCTCTGTCAAAGATACACTGTGAGTTCACTTCAGTTTTATTGCTATTTTTCTTTTCATAATTTCACTTGTGTAACTGTTCTTACTCCACCCTCAAATTGAACTAGCAAGAACACAAATGCTTACAATACTTAAATTCTTTCAACTTTGTTCTTCTTTTGTTTTGTTTTGTTTTTCTTTGTTTACTCATCTATAAGATTGTTGCAGATGTTCAGTATGTCTTTTGGACTACCAACCAGACGACAGACTTCAACAGATTCCGGTATGCGGCCATACGTTTCACATGAGCTGCATTGATCTTTGGCTTGCCAGCCACAGCACCTGTCCTCTTTGCCGTCTGTCACTACTACCAACCGCTAAATCTTCGACCGAAACATCCAATGTGCAGGTAGATAATAGCAATTTCCATAATTTTGCATCAACGACTCTACATGTACCAGTGTTTAGATTATTGATCATTCATGGCAGATATACTGACAAATGAAACTCTCTGATGGAGGCCATAAGCAATGAAGAAATGGAGATGCAACGGAGAAATGAAGAAACACTGGCCATGGAATTCTCTGACTCGGTATCTACTAGTCATTTAGAAACCACTGTCATCGAAAACGTCTCTGGAGAAGTTGGGATCAACGCTCACCCGCGCATCAATGTTGAAGAGCAAAACGTGCGAAACAACCAATAGGAGCATGAAGATATCTATCGCTACTACATCGTTTCTTGATCATCCTGGGTGCAAGAACTTGGATTTGTGATAAATTTGGTAGTTTTGTGGAGGATCGAATTGCTGAAAACTTTGTTAAATCCCCGAGAAGACTGGCAACACGATTCCATGACTTCTTTTTCCTTATGGTTCTCTACATTGTAGCATTGTCACTATATGAGATTTATGTATCAGTAATCAACATGTAATCTAAAATTTTCTGTGATGGTGAAGGTTACATTAAAAGATTGAAAATTAAGTCATTTGATCATACGGGAATTATTGCATTTATCCTTATATTAATTGCATTACTAATGAGACCGAGGACTAATTTCACCGTCCACTAGCGAAGAGTTCATTTAAAGTCAGAACAAAACTCTGGACAAACTGATTCAACACAACACATTGCGAGATTCAAACCTTAATATGTTAACTTTAGCTTGATTCAAAGCGGTCTTTTGATATATGAAGAAATGGAAATGGACTGATGAAAATTCCAAAAAGTGATAATGAACTGATAAAGAAACAAAATCTGAAGCAGAAAAACCTTATGATGCAAGAAATAAGATTATGACAACTTTTGCAAGAAATAAGAACAAATCATAAAAATAATTGAACCGTGTAGCCTCAAGGATCTTTAGTCATGAGACATGTATGTACATCTACAAACAAATCAACCATATCGATACGTGTACAACTATTTTACTCTGTCAGTGTAGTTTTTTGCATATGTATATATCTTGTTTCACTACGAAACAATTCAACAAGACAATGTGTGAATGACTGATCACTCCCGATGAACACAGATGAAGCGGTTATCTGTCAAACATCCCTTGCCTTAAACGCGTTATCTGACAATGGTTGGAGTGGCATCTTTGGACTCGAAGGAGGACTGCTGAGTTTCCGAATTAGAAATTTGAAGCACGGTATCAGTGTTATGTAAAGACTTCCCAAAATTAAAGGTGATGCAGCTAGCCATCCTAATAACTGCAAAAAATATTGATAAGCAAATTATTTCAAATGCGATCGTGATCACATCACGCATAAAGTAAACTTGAAACAACAATCACATCACACAAATATCCTGAGTAAACACCTAATTCAGAAGAATCGAATAATTTATATAGTTTTGTTTTATTGGCATTGGCTACTTACTGCGTTGGCAATGCTTAGTAGGAGTTGCTTTGAAGCTTGACCGGTAAGAACTTTCTTTAAAACATCAGATGTTAAAGTGAAATGAGGCGCACCAGTGATAAATTCACCCAAGCGCAGAAACGGTATAATCAAACTGATAATAACCATAGAAAAATGCTGTCAATTGTGGATCGCAGAAAATAGAGGTTTGTTCAAATTCTACGATGCTAAAGTACTATAACGCTACTATAGTCATTTTTTAAGAACAGTTTATATTAAATAGCGACCGCAAAACAATAGCAATTTGTAAAATCAAGTTACCTCAATTCAATGGGAGTAGCAAAGCAGTTTGCAAGCAACAGAATGGGAGCATTAACAAACGATCCAAGTAACGATATAGCAATACCGCAGAGTAACACAGTGACACCTGTTTCAAAAGAATCCTTTAAAACACTACTTTTGCATATAATTTAGATTAGCCAGATCATGATAGCAGAAAAGATGAGCCAAAATAAAATACAAAACTACAGAACTATCCTGACAAAGCATTACCAAGGATTACTTCCTACAAATACACTTTCATAGGTTCAATGGCGCACTCATAAAAGAGACAATATCATGACTTTTTCCTTGCCAATAACCAGAGCCGTCTTAAATTTTTTAAGTTACTATATGGATTAGTTATAGTTCAACTGTGACAAGACAACTAGGGACCATATATGGTCATGGTATAACTATGAGGAGGCCATATTTTACTACAGTTTAACCGTGACAAATGTGAAACTATGTGTTGTAGACCATCTTGCATACCTTTAAGGACAGCCCTGTCAATAACTATTCAGGTTGATATAGAAAAAAATATCCTTAAAATTATACTCAATACTGATAAAAAGATTGTAAATAGATACTATAAAACTAAATAATCTGACATCAGACAATATATGACATGCATATATGTCTATAAGTGGGGGCAATCTTCATCTTATAAGTCGATTTTGTAAGGCTCTACTAAGTTCAACCACAATTCTAATATGATGTCAGAGTCTCTTTCAAGATCCGTTGGACCACGTGTTATTAGATTTCCACTATCAGACCACTCATAATTTATATTCCCTCATCAAGCTCGATAGTGCTGGGTATGATGAGGTATATTAAAAGTCCCCCATCCGACAAAATATGATTTGTATATATATATATTTATAAGTGGAGTCAATTCTCATCTTACAAACCGATTTTGTAAGAATCAACAAATTCACTACCATCATCAACAAACTAACTTTCTTTTAACAACCTTTAACTAACTTTTCTAACAAACTTTTCAAACACAGGAGTACCTCCAATTAAGGTAGCCAAACATAGAATTATAATAATGATATCTGAAACCAAAATCCCAATCAATTAACAACATACCACAAATAGGAAACACTCCAAGTGTAATCCCAAGAGCAGCAGAGAAAGACACCTGCTTCGGCTCAGCACCACTGAACAAAAAAAAACAGAAATTAATTAAAAAAAAACTTCCATAAAATACAATTAATTGAACAACCTTAAAAAAAGGTTTCACTATAGAAAAAACCAAAACATTATAAAAGACAAAACAAGAACATAGTTGAGTTCATAAACATAGTACCCTCGGAGAACCAAGAGAACAGGATCTGTGAATTTGTGTTGGAACCATGTGCATAAACCCATCCTTCCTCCACAAAAAAAAAAAAAAACTAATTTAGGTTGTTGGGATCTATTTTCTTTATTTATGAAACTGCCCAAATTAAAACATTTTTGTTTATTGTTATCTTGAATTTTTCAAGTGAGAAATATATTATGATTTGTAATGATTAAAAAAAAAATGAAATTGGCGTGGTAGGCCAATAATTGTCCTTTAATAATGGATCTTGTTTCATATGGCTTTCATCATTAATAGATGAAGAGAGGATTAGATTCTCTCAATTTTGTAAATGTTTAATATTTTGTAAGTTAAAATTTAAATAATTATTTTGATCAATTTTTGAATTTATTTTTTGAAAAAGTAGAAAAAAATGTGTGTGATTTTTTAACCATATTAATAAAAAAATAGTGTAGCATACATAGCTTTTTTTTTAAAACATGAATGTCTTTTCAGTTTTTTTTGTTATTTTTTCTTAATGAAGAAATATCTATAATTCTTTTTTTATATAATTAATTATATTTTTTAAGTTGTATAAAATGTCTATTGATTTTAATTTTGCACAGAGAAATTAATGCTTAAATAGTTTATTTTTTATATATGCGCCTTGATTTATTTACACTAATTTATTGTTGTTATGAATTAAACTCTGAATTAATATTTCATTTAATAATATTTGTTAGTGCAAGGTGATGAAATTGAGGAAGAAGAGAGAAAAAGAATAAATGCTAAAAGCTGTCACTAATGATTGAAGGAATTGATGATTGTTAGAAATGTAAACCTAGTACACTTATTTATACACAAATAAGAAAGCCACATAGGTCCTAATAAAAAATATTTACAAATGACAAATACTAAATTATCCTCTAATACCATCCCGTAATTTAGTAACTTATCAGAAATTAACAACACCAATTTCATCTCTCAAATGAAGAAATTGGTCTGTTTTTATCGCATTTGTCAGAACATCTGCCAACTGCTTCTGAGTGCTACAGTGCAGAACTTCTAACACTCCTTTCTGCACTTGACTTCTGAGAAAGTGATACTTCGTCTCAATGTGCTTGCTTCTTCCATGTAACACTGAATTCTTTGCAAGATTAATTGCAGACTTATTATCGATCATCAGCTTCAGAGGTTCCTCAACTTCAACCTTCAGATCATGCAGCAGATTCAGAAGCCAAACTGCTTGACACGCAGCTACAGCACCTGCAATGTATTCAGCTTCACATGTTGACAAAGCCACAACCGACTGTTTCTTGGAACTTCAAGAAATTGGACCTCCCAGAAACTTGAACAAGTACCCAGAAGTACTTCTTCTGTCAACTCTATCTCCACACCAATCAGAATCAGAATAACTCAGAAATTCTGATTTGATCTTTCCTCCAGAAGGAAATAACACTCCATATTTCAGAGTTCCTTTTATATACCTTAGAATCCCGACAGCAGCTTGGTAATGAGACCACCTTGATTTGCTCATGTATCTGCTGACCATTCCAACTGCATAACAAATATCAGGTCTGGTATTACACAAATACCTCAGAGAACCAACCATATGTTTGAAGGTTGTAGCATCCGCATCCTTTCCATCAGAATCAGAGTCCAACTTCTGATTCGTATCAGCAGGTGTGATAGCAACCTTGCAATTTGCTAGCTTAAATCTTTTCAGAAGCTCCAGTTCATACTTCTTCTGATGTAAGATGATTCCTTTCTCAGAGTATATAAATTCCATCCTTAGAAAGAAACTCATTTTTCCAAGATCTGTCATCTCAAACGCATTCATCAGAACTTTCTTGAACTCAACTGTTTCTTGTTCAGAACTTCCTGTGAGTAATATGTCATCAACATACAAACAGACCAGAATCATATTACCTTCTGAAGTGTGCTGAACATAAACACCATACTCCATCTCACACTTCTGAAACCCTTGTTCCTTGAAAAACGAATCAATCTTCAAATTCCAAGCTCTGGGCGCTTGCTTCAGTCCATACAGAGCTTTATTTAACCTGTATACCATCCCTTCCTGATTCTTTTTCACAAATTCAGGAGGTTGTGACACATAAACTTCTTCCTGTAATGGACCGTTCAGAAATGCAGACTTCACATCCAGATGTATCAAAGGCCAGTTTCTGTTTGCAGCTAAAGCAATCACCAGTCTGATTGTTTCGTGTCTAGCTACAGGCGCAAA